ATATAGTATTGAAGAGGTTTTGTGGGAGGTTGAATTTGGAAAGCTCCTGAAAGGCTTTTGTTGAACTCGGTGGTTGACCTACTCATCCTTGCATCATTGTAGCGCAGGAAATGGAGAACGTAGAAAGCACTTGATATGAGTGTGCTGAACATAAAATGTTTTATCTCACAGTGCTACACATACAATCTGGTGCTCTTTTCAATGTATTGAGATTGAAGGACTGTGTGATTTACCCCTCATCACCCTGAATAGAGATAAACAGGATTAGAATATGAATTGTTGTTTATTAGTTGATTCCCAGTGTGTAAAATTTAGGAAAATGTATTGGCAGAAATGGAATATAACTATCGCAGGTATGTTTTCATTAGTGTATAATCACCTGAATATAAGAATTGTTGTGTTTTGGTTACCTCAGAACAAGCCATGTTTATCAACATTGGCTAAAATGAACCATTAATACAACTTAATCAATAAATCAATATAAATGTTACATTCAAGCATTAATATGCATTTTATACACTGCATGTTTTTTTAAATTGCTGGATATCCTTGTGTTTGTATTTTTCTCAACTGCACTGTCACACTACAAATAATACAAAACAAAACATTTTAAAAAGAAAGAAAATTTTACTTAAACTATGTTTAAAGCTTTGAATGATATATCACAGGACTCTGCAAATTGATTGTCTAAGTGAACTTAGTGGGAGCCAGTGGCTGCCTGTGGTTCTGCAGACAGTGACACAGGGGAAATTTAGAATGTGACCATTTGACATTTCGTCTGAAAGACAATTAAGATTCTGGGTTCTTAAAGAGAATTGGAATCTTCTAATTTAAAGGTCCAGTGTGTATGATTTAAGAGGATCTATTAGCAGAAAGGCAGAATAATATCCATAGATATGTTTTCATTAGTGTATAATCACCTGAAAATAAGAATGCTGTGTTTTTGTCACCTATGTTTCTAACCCAGAACAGACAAACCAGACACTGGCTCTACATGGGATTTTTGAATTTCCGTGTGTTTCGTGGCCACTGTAGTTTCTCCTATGCTCTTGGAAGGCTGAGCTGTATTTAAATGCAATCTGCAACTTTACCACTAGATGCCACTGAATCCTACACTCTGGTCCTTTAAGGGGGGCAATGCTACCAAACAGAGATTGTAAGACCTTTAACATACCAATAGAAATCTATAAAATGTTCGATTTGCATCGGTATGTAGTCTACCTGTAATGTAAATGTATCTTTTACATCCCCATAATAAAATGAATGAAAATACAAATTTCATAATGATGTACCACAGAGACGAGACTCACCTTAGCTCTAACGTTCTCATACGACGCTGGGCTCACCAAGGAGAAACAGATCAGGAAAACATCCTAGATGGATAGACAATTAGATATGAGAGAGAGAGAAAATGGTAGATGGTAGACTGCATCATACTGCAACATTTCTGTAACAAAAGCTATATAGCACAATCCATAAAGTAAAGAGATGTCATTCTTTTTATTGTATTGGCATTTTGGTTTAAGAAAAATAAAGCTACTTCTAATATATTGTCAGTGTTTATTTAGGTCATTGTGTTGACAAAATATTACTGTTCGGAGACAAATGGTGTCAGTGTTAGGGTACAAGTGTTTTTGTGGCACAAAATTGTTGCTTTAAATAAATTTTTCTGATTACTGTATATAAATATGAAGCTAAAACTTTCTTTTCTCCTTTGTTTTAAACCAAAGGAACATCACATTCTAAATAACACCAACACAATAATCTTAGATTTTGCATTCATTTTCTCAAATGCCAGTCACAGTATAATTGTTTTTATATTCATAATATATGTATTATATTGCATTTTTGCATATTACACAAGATTTGTTTTGTTTCATTTCATATTTGTATTTAATCACATTACTTTATAAGGTGAACAATATTTCTAGGTATTTCTCCGTATATATTTTTTCTATCTTAAAAATGGTGGTTTTCACAAATGAAGCAGCTTCCTCTAAAACGTCCTCTTTTCTTTTTCTTACTCTTCCTCACCTTTTAATTTAATGAGATGTAGCTCAATCAGGCTGCGTTATTGTGTATGGATCTGACAGTTGTAATCTCAACTCTCCCAGGTTTCACAGTGGGAGACAAAGTGGATTTCATCTTTTATAATGAACTCTGTGGGTGTGTGTGTGATAATATACCGTCTGTGGGTAGGACAGTGGGCGGAGCCTGTCGTAGTCTTCCTGTCCAGCTGTATCCCAGAGGCCCAGATTGACTGGCTTGCTGTCCACCATCACATTAGCTGAGTAGTTGTCAAATCTGTGTGGAGCAGGGGGGTGGGGCGATCAGCGATCAATCAATTAGTCAGTGAGCTGGTCTTTTATGTTATTGATTCTTTAAATAATCAATCATTTGATTTATAAATGCCATAGAAATGCCATCAAGGTAGGGTCGCATAATCAAACATAAGTCATACGAGACCTGAAAAGAGAAGCTTTTTTTAAAAGAAAACATAGGAAAGGAAGTTTATTAGGGCATACTGAGCAGAGTTTGGGATGGCCAATAATAATACTGAAAACTCTTTTGTTTATATAGCTTTAAAAAGGGCTTTGAGGTCAGAAAAATATGTTGTTTAGCATATTAATTAGCTCATTAAACCTAAAGAAGTAGTAAAGTACTAGTTGTTACCCAGTTAATGAGCAGTCCATGGACTGTAAGGATTACAGGCATTTTTATTCCCTTGCTGTGTTTGTTTGCCAAAAAAATAGGCTACATAATATCTTTGGCCTCTGTTGTTAAAACATCTGTGTGTTTAAGGAAATAACCAGGAAATAACCAGTGGTAACTTTTCATTTACTCAGGTAAAGAGAAATACAGTTATAAGGTACTTTACTTGAGTATCTCTATTTTATGCTACTTTATAGCTTGCTTCTAAATATTGTACTTTTGACTTTGCTAAAAACCATCGTCAAGTCATGTTGCAGATTATAATTTTACATACATGTTATCAGTTTATAACACATGATACATTCTTATAGATTAAACTACAACAGTGTATAATGTAGTAAAAATTATCTCTACCTCAACCAATCTGCTGCAAACAGTAGTAATATTCCAATCATAAGATACACATTACAATATAAGACTTTCCAAGGGGCTACTCTGCCCAATGAGTACTTTTATGTTTTATGCTTTAAGTACATTTTGCTGATAATATTTTTGTTCTTGTACTTTTTAATTCAAGACTTTTACTTGCACTTCACAGTTGAGCACAGACTTCTACTTCAAAGTATTTATTCTTTGATTGATACTTGGTATTGCTACTTTTACTTAAGTAAAAGTATATGAGTAGGCTATTTCTTTCACCACTGTACAAAACCGCTGCAATCTTCTATGTTGTAATATTTAAGCAGCACTGCACCCGTGTGGTGACTTAAGAACACTACAGTCTCATCATCAGCTTTGTCACTTTACTGAACTTCCTGTATGTGCACTTGTTGCTACGCATAAAACAACATGCACAATCACAAACTAGCTTCAACACTAAAGAGCAATGAGTGCCTCCCATTGATTGTAAGACTACAAGGCAGTGGTACAGACTTGGGTCATCTCATTGATCAATGTTCCCTTTTGCAACTTTGATGGAGATACACAACTCTGTTTTAGCAACATCCTGCTTCCTTCTCATTTATTTGGTCATATTCATCTGACGCTATCTGCCAGAGGCTTTTAACAAAGAGATATTATCATATCACCCTCTCTTGCCTCTCTTCTCTTGTTACCAGTCAGGTTTAGAGTTGAGTTTAATATTTTACTGCTGTTTTACTCTTAAAGGACTTAATTGGCAATGTTTTCCTAAATTTCAGTTAAAGACTAAAGGGGACACTTATAACAAATATATTTTATTATTTATCTTACCTGTTTTATTGGTCTCATTCTTCAGTTATATCTTGTAGATCTGAAATGTTTTAACCCTTCCTGTGTAAAGCACTTTTTAACTTTGTTTTGAAAGTTATAATATTGATTAGGGAGTTTACTTTAATTATAAACTATAATTAAATTAAATATAAAACCAGTGCCTTTCTCACAAGCACTGCAACATTAATTGTTGCACTAAAGGAGAAAGTTTGTTTTCTTTTTGCTTCTCTGTTTACCTGTCAACTTCTTTTCCAAGAAAGTGTTTTTATGCCAGCCCAAACCTGTCAGTGCTAACCATTACATATCTGCAGATGTACTGAAGTATGTGTGTGTGTGTGTGTGTGTGTGTGTATATAAGCCACATTTACCTGACACAATCACATATTGCTGTAATTAACTGTATGTTTTTCATGTACCTTCAGAGAGAGAGAGAGAGAGAGAGAGAGAGAGAGAGCACACGTGTCTGCGTGTTTCATACTCACACAGTAGGAATGTATTCCCCGGGGAAGGCATTTGTTGTGTAGCTGATGAGAAGACATGTTTTTCCCACAGCTCTATATCACACAAGAAAAAACACATACAGTGAGACATTATGAGAAGACAAAAATCATGTTTCAGGCTATAAGTGTGGAAAACGGAAAAGACTGCAGAAAGACTGCAGGTAGGCAGGGCTTTATCAACCGACATTAGCTTTGTCCCAATTCCATACTACATAATAACCTAACCTAAACAACAGTATGTACAATATTCATTTTCAGTTTACCTCTTTGAAGTTATTATACCAAAAATCAGCATACTTATTTTGTACAAACACAGAATTGTTTTATACATTTTATACATATGTACAGTAATTGACATAGGTTCACTAAGGGAGTGTCTTTTATCTATATTTGTTGTTTTGGGGATATTTCCACTTCATTCATATTTTATAATTCAGACAAATGTCTCAATAACATTGCAGGAGCGCGCTGAGGTCTCAACATCCACAGTGATGAAACCGCACGGCTGCATGCAGGAGATGATCCAACAAGTATCAACCGGCCCTGTTCTTATTTAGTTCCAAAGATTTTTCCTGTCGACACTAAAACTTGTGCCCTGTTTTCACCAAGGCATTGAAACATTCTGGATAAATCTGATTGATAAGAAGTTATGAGGAGTTGCCTAACCTTCGTTGCGCTAATGAATCAGAAATAGCAAAGCAGGGAAAGAGCCTGTCATGAAACCAGGTGATCTGCAGCTAAGAGACCAAAGGTTTTACCTGTGGTCTGTCTATAAGGATGATATTTAGGCCCAAATTGTTCTGTATATAGTAGCAAGATATGAAAGAGCTTATTTTCTGTTATGTTATGCTATTACAATTACAAGTAAATCTCACTCTTTTGTTCACAGAATGGCTGTAAGCAGACGTGCCCTAGCAAATCCAGATTCTGCCCAATTTTCTACCATCACCACCACCGCCCTTTAAAGCTGGAGGGTGTAAAGACTGTAAGCCAACACTTTATACACAAGCATAAGATGACAATGTTAGAAAAATAGGTATGTATATAAGAGGGGGAATTGTAACATGTCCCTGGTGAATAATGGTCTTTAGTTGTTGTTTGTCTTTGGTTGTTCTCAGTTAAAACATCCACAGATGCAGACTGTAGGATGCAGTGAAAAGCTCTGGAAAAGGCTAGTAAGTGGACCCTGAGCTGAGGTATTTTGTCATACAAAGAAAAAAAATGTTTTTGGAAGACTTTTCTTATCTTGCTTTTCATATCTACAACAACAACAGCACAAGCTTATGAAAGGTGGACTCATGAGGTAGCAGTCAATTCAGAATCACAGCTATCAGTGATGCATGATTCAGGCATCGTCATCATCGAGCAATAAGGCAGAGGGGTTTTCCACTGCTGAAGCTCTTTTTTAATATATTAGGTTAGAAACCCCTTTTCAGAGATCAGCTCAGAAATGGGGTGCACAATGTACTTTTTGAAAGCTCAAATTAAAACAAACCCCAATAAAAGTGTAGTGAGTATATGTTTCTGTACCCTGACACCAATAACATGGTGTGACTTTATAAAGTAAGTTGGGGGGTTGGGACTTCACGCCTATCACAGACACGTACTTAAAATTACCCTCTGGTGTTTAGCCAAGCAGATAGTTTCAGTTTTATTTCAGTTTTATTTTATTAGGTTCTTTACATTGCCCTCAGAAATTACCACAATGACATGAAAAAGTAGTTTTAATAACTTAATAACACAATCAAATGCGATCCATCTATGTGGCTCTGTGTTTGTCAGTGATGGCACAACATTGATTTTATAAGTGTCCAAAATATGTCCAAAATCTACTGCTAACAGCTGTGGGGAATTTGGAGAGTTATTTCAGACACAGCCGAGCACAAAAATTTAATTTCTCTCCCTATTGTTCTGGAGTAGCGGCAGAACCATGAACTAGACGCAGCGAAGGATATTCTGATACAACAAAGTTGTCTGAATGGATAGATATCCCTAAATAACTGAGAAAATATATCTTTCTGTGCTGTGGGTAGACTGACCCTTTAAAGAGAAGTTGACAAACCAACTTTTGACTGTATGAACTGATACAGGGTCTGAATTTCATAAGTTGGCATTTTTAAGAAGGCCAACTCAGGAACAAGATGACTCAGTAGTGGAATGAGCAGCCCAGCTGTCAACTACAGGCTGTGTGTGTGTGTGTGTGTGTGTGTGTGTGTATGAGTGAGACAGTACTTCTATCTTTGTGAGGGCCAGTTTGACTTTTAGAAGTTGAGTTTGAGGACATGTTGTCAGGTCGTAACTTCTCCAAAAGGCAGTTTGAGGAGTCAGACTTGGTTTTACGGTTAAGAATAAGGTTTAGTAGAAATGTAAGGGTTGGGGTTAGGCATGTAATCGTGATGGTTAACGTTAGGATTACGGGTTGAAGAGTGTGGTAACGTCAGTAAAGGCTCTCACAAGTATAGAAGTGCAAGCATGTGTGTGTTTTGTGGTTGTGTGTGAGTCAAATAGGAACTGATCTGTTTCAGAAGCATCAGTTAGTGCTGAAAACAGGAACCAGCCAAACTGAGCTATCAAGAAGTCTTCAGCCTCTGATCTCGCTCTGTCCCTTTGTTCTTAATCTGGTTTTTCATAAACTTTTCTGTCCCCAGCTTACACCATCTTTGGCAAACTCTTCAAATGAGATTTATTTTCACTGTGTCTTTTTTTGTACTTTTAACCCATTAGGCTAATTCTCTTCCTCAAATTTATTTCCTCCACTGTGTATTTTTCTCTCTTTCTTCATGCTAGACTGTTGGTTGAAATCTTGTAACTATCTTGTGACTACTAACTAACAATTCATAATTTCTCCCATCTTTGTTTGAGACATCCCCCATTGTCCTCTCATTGGTTCAACCCAAAAAGCACAAGCCACAGTAAATAGTCAAATGGCTTCAATAGAACAAAAGAAAAAAAACAGGTGTCAATCAGTGAATCACAAGTTTGATTCCATGTTATGTTTTTAGTATATCTGTAGTTTTTTACCCTCAAACAGACATGTTTCTCTTTATCTTAAAGCCTGCTCATACCAGAAAGTAAAACATTATGAAATAATTTTGAATTAAATGGTGCTAGAGGCTTAGTGACTACTTGCAGGGCCAATTGGTAAATCACAGCTGGCGAGCTAAGCGCTAACAAGCCTTTAAGGTTGTTAAAATAATAATATTCTGCTTTGTCTGTCATTAGCTGATAGCATATATTTACTGTATCAGCTTGTTCCTTCTCTTTATAGAATCTGTATGACATTTCACACTGAGTGACTCAGTGACTCACGACTCCATGCTTTTCACAGCTGCATCATTCCACTGAATTAAAATATTCATATTCATATTCTTGCTCATGATTGTATACATATTTTACTTCAATTCAGACAGCCATATTTGGAATTTTAGGAAAGTTATGAATCCACTAGAATTTTAAATACTGTAAAGTTTTGTGGGTTTCAGTAATGTTTGGTTGTTTGATTTTACACAGTACGACCAATGTTGTCACACAATTCCACTGATGCGGTAATACGCCAATATATGCTCCAATGCACCAGCAAAGACAGGGAAGAAGACCGCAAACAAGTAAACATAGGCTCGATTTAAAAAAAGCTACTTTTAAAATAAAAAACTGGCTTTCCAAATGTTTTATGAGGAAGGAAATGCACACCATACGTTTGTTAGACCTCAAGGATAAACCTAATGTGCTTCAGTAAATACCACTGAATGTAAACAACTAGTGGAATACTCCCCTTTAAAAAGTTTTAGAATTGTATGTTCAATGCTGTATGAATGTATATTAAGATGGACATTTTAATTTGTACTAAACTCTAGTGAAACTGTCCACCCATCCAACAGGCCAACACTATAATAGGGTTATATATGAGCAATATTTTAGCTTGTATGTACACAGTGACTTGCTGAGAGACAGCAAACTTCCCTTCAACCTGAGACCAACTTCCTCTTCTTGCCGTTACTGGAACCTTTAAATCCCATTTTTGACATCTGAGTTTAGTCATATACATAGACAAACAGACATGTGCTCACACATCACACAGACAATGGAACTACTGTGTTTCTTTTTAAAAGACTGTACTGACTCCACAAGGTCCACCACCTGCACAGTGTTCATCTTCTGTAAAACAGGTGGAGCCCCAAGCTCAAACTACTGCTACATGCAGCAAAGGATTTTTGCAGAGGTTGCAATATGATGCGACGTTGAGTGGATCAAAAAATAAAAAGTCATGGCAGAAATTACTCACACCACCACTAGCTTCAACAGCTTCTCAGCTGTCATAAGGACAGTATACCAAAACTCAGACGTGCTGTTTGGAGTATCTGAAAAGCATCTTTCAGACATATCAACAGGGGTATTCCACACTTTTCGCAGATTAGCAAAAAAAACAACATATCAGTACTTTCTGCAGCGATTGACCAGGTGTTCACAGGTATAGAACTGTGCAGGTCTCTAAGTTGTCCACAGATGATTTTCTTCACATTCCTCACATTACTTCATGCAGTATTTATGTTCTCTGCTTGCCTTTGTATTGTGTTTTCAGAGAAAAAAAGAGAGTATGGCCACACTCTGCATCAAATTCTGGACAGTAGCCATGACAGATGCTGTTATTAAATAAGTAAATAAATAAAAATCCATGGCATGAGGATGTTCACATTCATCCACCTTAACCTCCCTTCTCCCTTTGCAGAGTTTGTGGCTCTATAACAGTATCACACTACCTCCCCTCCTCCACCCCTCCCTGCTCCCTGCTCCCTGCTCCAGGCTCCAATCTCATTTTTGAGTGTGTACACCTCCAAATCATAGCTGAAAGTCACCAAAGTCAGTCACCGTCATAGATTTAAATGTAGTGTGCTATAATAAAGCAAAACTTCACAAACTGTCTCAGGCATTTACAAACTTCAGTCTCCCCACTTCTTCACTCTGCAGTTTTGATTCACAGTGTCCCTTTTAGCACACACCAGGAAGCTCAACACAAGCAAGGAAATGGAGCTACAGTTGCTGTGTACTACCTGTAAATGTGTCATTTTACGTAACTTTACTGAACTCTTGCAGCAACTACAGCACTTCCGCTTCACAATTTCCCCCATCATGACAGCCAGCCCTTTTGCCCGAACTTCAAGGGTAAGAAGTGTATAGAAGTTGTTTTTTTCTCATTTGGTCATTTGGTAGAAGACACATTGTCCAAACTTATTCTGAGAGAGTGCAATTAATCATTTAAACTGAATAAATTCATCAGCTTTTCTAAAACTGAAGACTTGAAAATGCCCAACTTGAACAAAATACTTGCCTTTATGTGTCCTTCTGTTTCTTTTCTTGTCTGTTTTTTTTCTTTTCTGTGTCTTATGAGCCACTCTTTTTGGCATTTCTTGGATTTTCATCTACATTAAGCAGTCTGTGCTCTGAGCTTGCAGCATTTTCCTGCATGTTGTGGCCTGTACGTCCAGCACCCTCACTCTGTATCAGCGCTGTCAAACACACGCCTAAAGACTCACAAGTAACACGGACAGACTGTGCTCTTCAACAAGTTTAAGAGTACAGTAGACTCACATTTTTTAAATAAACGCCATATCAAACAGCCACATCACTGCGGAAGTTGATCAAACTGTCACTCAAGCCTGTTCAGGACATTTGAAAATCTTTGACATTTCTATCAAATAACCCCACATTAACCCTACCTAGGGCCAAAAGTCCCCATCATGCATCAGCTGGGTTAACATGTCTTGATTCAGTAACTTGAGGCACTTAAGTTAAAACAATGTAGGTAAAGTAAAATAATGGCGTACCCATCTCCCACGACCACACATTTGATAGCCTGCATCCTGTTCCGCTCCGCTTCGTCTGTGCTCTTCACTCTGACAGAAACAGACTCGAAGAGGAAGGTTCAAAGACGCAGATCAGCATGCAACTACAGGAAATTGTTACACACCTCCCTCACTCTCCTCCCTTTGCTGTTTTTTTTCTTTTTCAGTCTCTCTTCCTTCATTTTTGCGCAAACCTTCCGGTTGTTTTTTTCTTCTTCTAAACAACAAAACTTATGCAAGCAGTGTTCAAATGGTATAAAATACACATGTGATTATTGATGTGGAAAAAGACGCCATTGTAATGGGTAAAAAGAGCTGTGAAATGGCAGTGGAGAGTTTTGAAAGGGGGAACATGCAGTAACAATGCCACTGGGCTTTATTTAAAACTTCCTCTTTTCCACTTGCAAACATGCAAACATGCATACACACACAGACACAGACACACAGACACACACACACACACACACACTCACACACATGTATTTGTAGTTACATTTTGATTTGTAAAGTAATATAAAATGGAAATGAATGGAAAATAAGGTGATGCAAAAACTAATACAAAAAAATATAGTAACACAGACACACACACACACACACACACACACACGATCACACACATTCATGGTTTAGTTTAAATTTAGTTTACACAGTTTAAGTTTTATTTTAATTTGTAAAGTGAGAAATAAATAAATGGAGAATAAGCCATAGCAATACACAAACACACTCATGATTATACACTATGGACAACTATACTTGTGATTTTCTTTTGTTTCCACTAGATGGCACTTCTGCATTGTTTTTATCATCGATCCACCATCATGTCCAGAGCTCATGTACTGCAGAGAACTTGTTAGTTCAATTTTCACATTGACAATTTACTTCAATCTTCCATAAGTAGGAACATGTTTTAGTTTTTAGGCAGCTAATGTATTACATCAACCATGAGAAACTCGTCGAATGTCCTTGTTCCAGTAATGACTAAACACAGTGTATAGTCTCATCCTTTTTAATCCTTGTGTCCTAATTGTGTTGTAAGATTACCAATATTAGGTTTTATATAGGTTGTCTTAATATGTTATACATTTCAGATGTTCAACATCAGTTTCAGTAACCACCAACAACCGTTAACAGTCAGATACTGTTCAGGATGCTGCGTGCAAAACCACCCTGGCAAACTGAGGTTTTCAACTGTCAAGTCAGACTGACTTAGTACACCACAATAAGACAGGAAGATGATCTTCAAAATAAAATAATAGTGGAGACTAAATTGCAATTTTTATCATAGAGCACCAAATGACCGCTTTTTATTAGCATTGTTATATCAACAGCAGTGTTCCTTTGTGTCAAGGGTTCAACGCCTTCCTCACCATCTGGAAATTTCAAAATTCACTTCCTGGCCTGAACTGTCTTTTGCAACCAAGTTGTATTGTTCAACCAATTTTCAGAACACTCTCTGTCACTTCCACTATCTAATAGCAGATGCACTACTGATATTGCAGGAAGTCTCAGGTCTACAAAGTGTCATATTCAAGCCACAAAAGCAAATAACTAAGCTGTGTAATTATTGTTTTTTTCATGGTGAAATGGTGCCTCCTCTTTTTTAGAAGTCTCTGTTGGACCTGCAGTTTAAAATTGGTTCTAAACTTATTGTCAGTCACATTTCAATAAAACACAAGTTCTCCTGTCAATGTTTAGATGTCCTTCAGCCCTTAAAAATAATAATAATAATTTTAAAAAGAACCCTCCTTTATTGCTTCACTTCAAGGACGAATCCATTCAGTCTGGGTTTTATTTTGAAAAAAGATCTACTTTTCATTCTTTCTGTCTTGCTGACGTTTGACATTGTGATGGATGGGGAAGAGGTGGGGTTAAAAAACAACATCTTCTTCATTCAAGTGTTACTGCACTATATGCTGCAGTAGTCAGCATATCTTCATATCTAGACCTGAGTATATGTAACTCTTTTGGCGTTGCCAATTTATTTTCTTTGTTCTTGGATATAAATGACTGATTGCCAAATGGGTAAGACCTGTTTTGCCACTTCTCTCTTTTTATAGCTGGTTGTTATATTTCATATTTGATTTATATGTAAAAATATCCACAAACAATGTATAATATTTGTTGGAATTGTTGTTATTTTGGTTATACGGTCTATAATTTATTATGTCACATTTTAAGATGTGGAATAGGGCATTGTGCTCTTTATCTGCATACACTTGTCTTTTAATTAATTCCTAAAAATATGAGGTATTTAACTATCTGGAAATGTTAATGATATCTATACTATTAGAGCCTTAATTTGTAGTTACCAACACACTAGTGTTCAGAAAAGAAACAGTAAGTAAAATAAGTAACTTTTATATTAAATAATGTCCCAGCTGTTCGGTATAACTACTTCCATTTCCTCACACTGTCAACTTTGTTGTTTAGAAACAGCTGTGATAAAAAATACATTAAAAATGAATTTCATTATTTCCATTGTATCACTGTACAGGCGTTTCTTAAATATTTTGTTGCATGGTTCTTGGTATACCGCTTTTCCCCATCTGAACCGTGTGGTGAAACGATGCACAGTGTGGATCTCAGCTGAAATGAGGAAGAGAACTCACAGGACCACATATGATGCACTGATAATAATATAAAAACAGAAGTTCTTTAAACTATCTTTAAACAATCCACCATTAAAGTCATGGTGCCAAGCTATTTACTGTACATCCACAATTATTTTTCAGATTAAAACCAAAATCTGAATCATGTAGAGTGAAGAGTTAGATGACATATGCCTGACAGCTTTGTTGCACAAGATGTGTGAAGGAAGGGTGGGGATGTGGAAGTTCTGTGTTCAGATCATTAACCGGATTCACTCATCTCTACAGGAAGCGTTAGTAGTTACCATGTTGTTTTTGTTGTCTTTATATTCTACAAGGGTTGTTTCATTTACTTACATGTTGGCCTCTGTGTGAGGGAGGCGCTATAGAGCTCATACTCTCAGGTCTAGTTTCACTGGTAGCCTACCAAAAAAAACTCTATGCTGATGAGAAAGACACTTATATTACTTCTGTTTTTGTCTTGTGGGAACCGCTCTCTGCTTGCTGAAGTTAAAATCAGCCATCTAACTTTGCCTGAGGCTCTTTCCTGTATGCAGTAACTCTTTGCAGAAAAGTAGAATAAAGTTGTAAGAATGTAATTTGCAACCTTTTTCCTCAAATCCCCTGCTCTAGTAGGAACACGCACCACATAGCTATGACATTTTTATGTATGATTTGTATGTATGGTTTTTATGGCAATTTTAAGAGTGACTCTGGTTAATGTGCTGGTGAAAGTTGACTGAAGAGCCAACCTGGAGCACAAACAATTAATGTATTGTTGTTGAAAAAAAAAGCATCATAAGAGACATACACATTACAGTGGTACATACATACACTGAGAGGAAATTTAGAATTTTGTGAAAAAAAATTTGCATTTTTAAGGGGAACAATGTCAAATCTAGACAAATCTGACTCACACTCTAGTGCCACCGGCAGGTTTACATATTTGTTTTTTATTTGTTTATATTTATTTATCTTGACAAATATTGGATGGATTTCCATTGAAATATCTCAACATCTACTAGATGGATTGGCACAAAATTTGGAACAGAGATCCATAGTTGTCCCTGACTTTCATCTAGTGCCACCATGAGGCTGACATTTGTGGTCTTGAGAGAAATGTCTCACCAATTACTAAATGGATTGTCATGACATTTATCATGTCTGCCTTAGGATGGATTTGTAAAAACTTTGGGGATCCCTTTTGTTTTCATCTAGTGCCATCACCAGGTCAAAATTATTTTTTTTCCAATACTTTTTTATGAATAAATACCTGCAAAGCGAATGCTTCGGTAAGCCATGTTTAGTTTTAAATAGCTAATGTCAGCATGCTAACATGCTAAGCTAGCATGGTAAACATTATACCTGCTTAGCATCAGCATGTTATCATTGCTACTGTGAACATGTTAGCATGCTGATATTTGGCTCAAAGCACTGCTGTGCCAAAGTAGAGCCTCACAGAGATACTGATGTGACTGTTAAGACGACTTGTTTCCTTTAAGTCTTATTTTGGTCGTATCTTTTTGACACATTCAAAAGAATGACTTTAATGATAGTGGTATATTCTGATATCAGAGCTTTTTTTTAGGTTTCTTTTAGGGTTATACACTCCTGTAATGCAATGACCACATCGGACTGATGATAATAGAACCTGAATGTTTAATTTGATGATAATCAAAGAGCACATGTGGTTATTCATAAACACATTATAAGTTACCTACCAAGTTTCAAACATAATTTATTAAGCAACCACAAAGCCTAGATGAAACATTTTCTTAGTATGACTGTAAATTTTTCATAAGTCATACTGTTCACCACTTCTGTATGCCACTGAGCTTCTCAGATGAGAGTGGAAGGGGATGGTGGTTGGCAGAGTTAAATAACTTGATAAAGAGGCCTCCACCAAGCCTGGTAGCTGTGTATGAATATTTTTCCCTATATTTGCATGCTTGTGTCTTTTCAAGAAAACTATTTATGGATATATTTTGCGGTGACATGTGAAAACCCACACCACCTGTCTTTGCATCTTCCAAAGAAACCTATCTTCCTTGTGCTGCGGTTAAACCAAATATATGACACACTGATGTGTAGATTTATTTAAATCAACAGTAGAACAGAAAGAAGGTGAGTGGAATCACACAGGGCTCAAGTGTTTTTCCACAAATCGGCTGATATCTCACAGGAAGCCTACAATAGTTGATTAGGCCATCACAGATTACGTCATTTTTCTGACCTAATATCCTGATGTCATAAAAAGTTGCATGGGCTGATTATTAAATGTTAACCTTTTTCTTCCCATTTTTGTAGTTTCTTCAGATTTTACAGCAGATGAGAAGATGGAGATTGAGAACATTAAGACCCATAAGAAAGACCTTCTGGATGATATCCAGGTAAATACACACACTTTGTCAGACACTCGAAAATAAATGCTGTTTTAATTTATTGATTTTGTATCTTTACTGGGAGAAGTGACTTGTCCTGCTCTTAATGTTGAGAAAACAAATATTAAAGACTTTTATTTTATTTTGCTCTGCCCAGAAGTTAAAGATGGAGATAGACAACGTCATGGCGGAAATACTCAGCTTCGAATCTGCAGAGGAAAAGTGAGTTTTAATGTGGGGAAAAACCCCACAGTACCCCACAAACCGGTTGTCCTTTTTATAGATCCACTAAACTAGAACTCCCACTAAACACTCCTACTGATGTTTTCAATGTCTAGCACATTTCAGTTTCACAGTTGCTTTCCGAAAATTTTTAATACTGCTCTTCCACAAAAAATAGTTCTCCATGTATTTACTCTCAGAGCATTTTAAATGAATAGTTCAAGAAATGTCATTTTATTTCATTTTATATAATGTAACTATACATTATACAAATTTGTCAACAATCCCACCTTTCTGCCTGGCCTATCAAATGATGAGTTGATAGTGACCAGGTTTGGAGATTAGCCAGGTTCCTTGGAGAGGTAGCCGTGCCCACAACACACCCATACACACACACATGCACACACACACACACACACAAGGAACACGGAAAACAGAGAGACAAGGAACACTGGAGATTGTTTTGTTTGTTTGTTTGTTTTTTATCTAGGTTTAAATAACGAGCTGCTATGTTATGCTATGCTCACAGTACATAAAAATGTAAACCTCAGTATCATGTTGCAGCTTTTCATTAGACTGATCAAATAAAGAATAAAGTCATCAATGGGAAAATACATTACTTGGCTGTGGCTAGTGGTACAGGGGCTAACTTGAAAAGGGGGGCAGGGCTCTTTGTTGCTACCCTGTTTCATATAGTTTATTTGTTTGTACTCAAATGTATAGCAATTTAATATATACATTACAATTATTCCTAAAATATATTTCTTCAATGTTGGTTTTCCTGCAGCAAGACCTTAGAGAAGAGCAAACGGTTCTCAAATGGAAAGAAGAAATTCAACATGGACCCCAA